ATAAGAGACTAAGCTGAAAAGAAAATGAATGAATAATAATAATAATAATAATAATATTAACCTTGGATTGGTGTAGAAGTCCTCCAAAACAAAAGTAGGAAAAAGCCTAATTGGCACACTTTAAAAGAGTAATTGTTATAGTAACAGTAGTAAATTTGTTGTTTGAATAACTTTTCAGTAATCTGAATAATCTTCTTCCACTAAAAACCCTTTAATGGAAGGAAACATTAAACGTTCTTCATAGTATCAAAGATTCAGTAAAGAAGTTTGGTTTTCAAGACTGTATGAATGAAACCCTCCACAGCTGTTCCTGTCTGTCATGTTTAGGGCAGCCTTACCGATTTGACCCAATTATAGGCCCACCCAACAACCGGGAAGGCCAGAGACAGGAGAGAGTTAAGGAGAAGAACTACACCTCTTGGGCTTCATCCAGTATAATCCTTCCAGCGTTCCAGATTTTTCTCCTCCAACTTTGATTTCTCACTCCTTTGAAGTTCACTCTCTCTGTAAGCAGCGCGTCTCCCTTTGTCTGGCCTCACTGCATAGTGCATTTTTTTCATTCATAATTCATATCCCACTGATGCTATCTTTCTGTTCAACTTCAAACACAGAAGGTTAAGTGACACGATTGGCCACACACTCTTAAAGGGACAATTTATCCATGAATGAACATTCTGTGGTCATGTACTCACCCTCAATGTTGCTCCAATCCAATATGACTTACTTTTTTCCTGTTAACACAAAAGAAGTTAATACAGGATTGCACTTTATTCTAATGTCCATCAACATTAACAGATATTACCAATGTTCTGATGCATGTTAGTTGACATGTAATTTAAATATGCTAATTCATTTTCCTACAGTTTAGTCCCTGATTTATCAGGGGTTGCCACAGCAGAATAAACCGCCTACTACTCCAGAATATGTTTTACGGAGCGGATACCCTTCCAGCCGCAACCCATCACTGGGAAACACCCATACACTCTCACATTCACTACCAGTGACTTGCGGTAATGTTTGTGGCTGGTGAGGCACTGACTCTTTTAAAGTCAAAAGTCAGACTTACAAACATATCCCCCAGATATATTGGCCAGCTACCGATTGTGTTTCATATATCATATCAGATTTCTTTCTATACACATGGAAGGTACATATTGGGCCAAGGAAGGATGTAAAATGTATAGCGATTAAATATGCCTCCTAAAAACACCCAGATGGATGCTACAGACAGCCTATAAGGAGCAATTTAGATACATTTCTGCGATTTTTAAAAAAAAATTTTTTGCAGTGAGTCAGAGCAAAACAGACTCTGAACAGAAATAACATGAGCTTACGCGCGCCTCTTCATTGCGGCAGAGCTACTGCCGGCCTCACCTCATGTCTTTTCAGTGCGGCTTTATGTCAGATTCTTACACTAAATATATGTAAAGTACATATTGTATGGAAAGTGAGGACCTATAATAAAATGTCTAGAATGCATAAAAACATCTAATAAAGCATTAAATTGGCAGCATACACTGAGTAAGCAAAAGGGGCTGGCTCAAGCTAGTTTGCTGCCTCACCTCAATTCCTATGCTGTAATTGAACAGGAAATACAGGAAATACAGGAAATACGGTGATTTTGATCGCATTTTAAGCACAGATTAGTGGACTAATATTTTTTTATCATTAGTATACATCTCATGATGGCAGATGAGGATGATTGCAGATGAGGCACTGCCTACCCTGACTTCACGACCCTGACTCATACACTTTGGCCAATTTAGTTTACCCAATTCACTATAGTGCATGTCTTTGGACTCTGGGGGAAACCGGAGCACCCGGAGGAAACCTTCATGAACATAGGGAGAATATGCAAACTCCACATAGAAACACCAACTGGCCCAGCCGGGACTCGAACCAGCGACTTTCTTGCTGTGAGATGCCATTGTGCTGCCCTTATTTGAAATTTATTGAATATAAAATTCTGTTACCATTTTCCTACTCTAACACAAAATATGATGAATCTTGTAAACTGTAACTATTTATTTCAATAGTATATATTTTTCCTATTATGCATGTCGATAGTTACCCATTTCCAAAATTCTTCAAAATATCTTACATAGTGCACTGCAGAAAAGAACTCCTGAACGTTTGGAATAATTTGAGGGAAAGAAAATGGTGAGAATTGCTTCCATTTTTTGGGGTGAACTATCTCTTTACTTTACTCACCTTAAATTTTGGCCAGAATTCAGATTTTTTTCTTCAGCAGAAAATGAAACAACATTTTTAGCTGAAAATGTGGTCCTTGGTGATTCATTAAATTTAATTGGCTTCCAACACTTTGGGGAAAAAAAAAACATAATATAAGCAAAACAACTGGCACCAGAATCTTTACAGAAATTCATTCTAGCTAAATTCAATATATACATTCTAGCTAAATCGTCACTTTAGAATTATAAGGTTCTATCCGACATTTTTGTCCAAATTTATTTTTTCACATTTTCTTATTAAATAGCAGCTTTTTTACATTATGTGTTTTTTATAAGTTGTTTACATTTTAAGACATTTTATTTAAAAACCAAAAAAGGTTTCATCTACCAAGTGGAACTCTAGCTTGGCTCTATACGTTTCTTTCTGTGAGCCAATCAGCATTTCGAATGCACACACATGGACAAATCAGGATCAGCTTTATTTGATTTTTTGTCAGATTTTTTGTTTACAGCAGGAAAGATCAGATAGAAACACAAAATCAGAGTCGACTAAATAATGCTACACAAAATTGAGACGAAACCTGAAACTGAAAGATGCATGTAAAAGTGATGATTTAGAAGCATTTTTGGACATTGAGATGAAAATTTGAAACTTACACAATTAAAAAAGAAAAAAAAATCTAATATATTAAATATTACATTTTTATGTGTGTATATATAGTCAAATACTATAGAATACACAAGACAATTTGTGGCAAGCAGAATTGCAATTGCTTGGCAAGCAGTTTTGGAAAATTAAAATGTCCGAGCATACTGCCCGAGAGGAGTTTCAAAGATGGATGCCGAGTGAAATGACTTGTCCTAAAGGGACTTTGAGATAGTCAGTGAAACATTTTTCTGTGTTTATTAAACTCACTTGCTCATTGTCTGTTTTATTTTAAAGTCTTTAGGTTTGATATTAAGCCTTGAAGGGCAAATACTTAATTCAACTCATGGGGCGTATAATTCAATAAATATAACTCAATAATTCATATAAAGCATATAATTCAATAAATATCAACATATTAATTAGATAAAATTAACATATGCACTGGACAAAATATTCAACACAGCCTATATGCTCAATTTAAACAAAAAATATTCATCCTAAAACGTGAAATAAATGTAACTTAAATAATAAATGTAAAGCAAAAAAAAGTAACTTTCTCAACCAACAACATAATGTTACAACACATAATGTTACACACAATGTTTTTTTTATTATTAAATGATTAAGCAGACTGATTGCACTTCTTTATAACCAATGCTCCAATAAATGATCTGCCAGATAGGACCTTATAATTCCAAATGGAAAATGACTTTTTAGAATTAGAAGCTTCAATCTACATTTGCCCTGTTTTTTTTTACCCCAACTTGCAAATTTAAGAGAATTTGAATGGTTCACATTTAGGGTCTTTGACATGTTAATTTATGAATGCAAACTGTTACACATATATTGTTTGCTATATGGAATGCAAAACCGTTGAAGCTCAATATCTCAAAATCATTTAGAGCGCAGATAGAACCTTATAATTCCAAGGTGACAAAAAATTCTGCACAATTATATGAAGAGTTTGGATGAAAAACCTCTAAATGCTGTTGGATATTTTCTTCTAAAATCAGCATTTTTCTCAGACTCTTGAGTCTAGGCTCAGTAATTTTACTTTTACAGTGACGAATAAGTTCTTTTCATTGCCTTAAAGGTGAAATACTTGAACATAAACATAGGAGGCTGAGAACTCATATGCTTTTGAATTGCGTTGTGGGATCTCGGCCTTTCTTCCAGCAACTTTTAACCTTCAAAAGTTCAAGAAAAAGGGACTATTATTAACATTTTGAATAGCTTACTTTAAAGTGTATAATATGGTTTTAAAAAACCTTGTAATAAACGGCCAGTGTACATTTACTTTTATTTTACAGACTTAATTCTCTATTTATTATTTGTACATGACATTATTTCCAACTACAAACATGTCACTAAAAGTCACTTTGTTGAACTGTAGAGTTGAATTTTCAACATCAAAAGTCGACAGAGCAGAGATCAAGATACCATAATGGAATTCACAACTGTAAAATAAACAGAAGACACTTGTGAATCACAAAATATGAAAACTGATCATGAACAGATTTTTCTTTTTTACCCTGTAGGTTTCATATTGTTCTATATCATGAGGTTTTTCTCTATTGAAAAAGCACAATCTGTCTTTTTAGTGCAGTAATACAAAACTGCATTTTCTTAGAGTGTTAAAACAGGGAAATAAAATAGGCAATAGAACCCACAAGCTTATGATCCTATAGGGAAAAGCAGCTCGGGAGTGTCTGTGTTTGCCTGTCACCACTGAAAGGTTATGTTTGCTGAGTCTGTACATACTCTGTTACTATTATTTCTTACTTTTTAAAGAGCTCGTCACATCTATCCGGTTTACCCTCAGTTTTGAGTTTCAGAAACAGATTTACAAATTTCCTGTAATTTCTGTAGGGACGTTTTCTTGTCTTTAATATTAGATTAGGTCTAATTTAGTTTTGAATTCAATTTAGGCTTCATTGAATGTTGCGATAATGGATCACTCTGACCGGCTGTTTCTGAGGTTATTGGCGAGCCTGAGCTACATCGAGGTCAAGTTTAAGAGGCCTGCACGGGTTTACGGGTGGAGAGACAGATCTGGGATCCGTTATTCCACTTCACCCCATCAACTGTTTCCAATTACATGACTTCAAAGGACTCATCGCCTCAACCGTGTTTAAAAGAAAGGATAGCTCAGGTCACAGGAAAACGGCAGGAGTCCTACTTTCTCTCATTATGGCATTATTCCTCCTTCTCTTTGGGATTTGCTGATGGGATCAAGTCAAAAACTATATCGATCGGCATGATGTTCGATTTCTGCAAAAAAAAAGAGAAAAAACTCCTTTAACAGTATTGTCAGCAATAAAATTATATATAATATAATAATAAACAATGTGGTCAACTAAAACCGAAACATTCAAATATATTTGATAGTTGAACAAAAGCACAAATATGACATGATAAACTGATATAAAATACTGATACACTGTTAACAATTGTTTTATAATTATTTTAATATAGAACATTTGCACTCACTGGCCACTTTATTAGGTACACCTTACTGCCTTACTCCTTCGTGGCAGAGATTCAACACCACATCCACCACATCCCAAAGGTGCTCTATTGGATTAAGCTCTGGTGACTGTGGAGGCCATTTGAGTACAGTGAACTCATTGTCATGTTCAAGAAACTAGTCTGAGATGATTCGGGTTCATGTCATGGTATGTTATCCAGCTGGAAGTAGCACATCAGAAGATGGGCACACTGTGGTCATAAAGGGACATGGTCTGCAACAATACTCAGGCTGTGTTGTTGACACAATGCTCAATTGGTACTAATGTGACCAAAGTGTCCGAAGAAAATATACCCCACACCATTTAACAACCACTAGGGCGTTCGACGTGTTGTGGTTGTACGTGAAAATCCCAGTAGATCAGCAGTTTCTGAAATACTCAGACCAGCCTGTCTTTCACCAACAATCATGCCATGTTCAATGTTAATTTCTTCCCCATTCGGATACTCGGTTTGAACTGCAGCAGATCATCTAGACCATGTCTACATGCCTAAATGCATTGAGTTGCTGCCATGTGATTGGCTGATTAGAAATTTGCGTTAACTAGCAGTTGCACAGCATAAAGTACCTAATAAAGTGGCCGGTGAGTGTATATGTTACTGTATTACAAAGTTGCATTGTGAAAATGACTGTATATTTTACAGTAAATATATACAAAAATTCTGTATATACATATACAGCAAGATACATTTCTGCTGTAAGTGATTTACAGTGATTTACAGGTGAACTGCCACCAGTTAGTTACTGCAGATTTTACAGGAAACTGTTCACGGTGTATATAAAAAAAGTCCATAACAAAATAACTAAAACCTAAAACTTAATGAAGGATCATTTAAATTTAGTACATTCTATAAGACTGTATGCAGTACATTACACTGTAACATTATTATTACAAACGTAAAAGTTAAGAATCACTACTGCTAATTAAAGTACTGGTTTAAAGTAACTATGTTTAAAGTTAGGCACAGCGGTAGGTTTATGGTTTATCCAATGACAAATAAAATACAATATGTATACAAAACAGGACTGTAAAACAAAGTGCTCATCCTATCATTCCTAAAACTAAAATGCAGTTCTGACCTAAACCGGAAATACAGTGCATCTGGAAAGTATTCATAGCACTTCACAATTTTTTTATGTTACAGCCTTATTCCAAAATGAATTAAATTCATTCATTTCCACAAAATTCTACACACAATACCCCATAAAAAATAAAAATAAAAACCTGAAAAATCACATGTACATAAGTATTCACTGCCTTTGCTGTGAAGCTCAGGTACATTCTGTTTCCACTGATCATTCTTGAGATGTTTCAGCAGCTTAATTGGAGTTCACCTGTGGTCAATACTGTTGTCTATATTGACCTTATTCTAAAATACGGAAGTGCACTTGGAATAAGGCTGTAACATAAATAAATGTGGAAAAACTGAAGCGCTATGAATACATTCCGCATGCACTGTATCAGCAGTGCTAATCCTTCGAAAGTTCATTTGTGTCCTAACAGCATTCAAGAGACATGTTAAGCCTTCTCTTGTGGACAACGGAAATGGTGATGACATTTGTAACTTCAACTCTTGCCTTCCAGATGTAGTGGCATGTTTTTGTGTGTGTTGTCACTATTTATTTGTTAAAAATAACAATAAAATGGAACAAAAAACAGACTCAAACATGAATAAAATTTTCATCTGTATGCCGCTGAAGTTCTATTTGTCCAGAGCGATGTTTGTTTTCTTAGATTCACACTAACAAGCACGCTGCATTTTATTTCTGTTATTTTAATTCTTCCAATTTGGAAAGCCATTTATCTGTGAGACAGACCAGCATGCAGAAAACACATCAAAGTGCAGATGCTGGGAACAGATTATTGCGAAGAGAGAAATATGCTTTGATATCTCGTAAAGATGCTTTGGCTTTGAACGGTTAACGTTTCATCCCACAGTGTAAACAGGAAAGATCTAGACACTACTATCAATTGTGTGGTTTTCTCTTTAGCAGGCTTTCAGACTATGCTTTCAGAAACACATTCATCTCTTTTATAGATGCACGATTAAGCTCATTTAAAGGTGTTTGTGTAAAATGAAATGCACTTTTAAAATCTGCTGTCCTAAAAGTTTACTCATTAACTTTTGTTGTAATTATAGGCTTTGAGTGTTGTAAAAAAATAGGTACATTTTCAGAAGCATAATAACATGTTAAATGTTTGAAAAAGTTCATTTAGACTTGTTTTACAGAAGTCATCACAGAAGCAGTTCACCTTACTCACCATTAGAGGGCGAGAATGTTTTCTGAAAAGAGGGACCTGTATTTCACACAGACCTGTGGATGGGAGCGAAATGCATCTTTCAAACTGACAGTTAAGTAGGATGGCCAGATTTCTATTTTTTTTTTTCATTTTTTTCTAATTTATTGTTATTATTTTTCTGATTTTAGATCTCCTATCAGAGAGTAATATGGGATGGATATACAGTAGGTAAACATTTTAGGAGGACTAAAATCTTTCATTAAAGTTGTCCTTAAACCAAAATGAGCAACCATTATTGTCTTTGAACAACTTGATGAACTTTTTTTTTTAATCCACCTCAAATGGATATATTGTAGCACTACTGTACATTATAAGCTACTCAGTTTGCTCTCCTGATGTAAACATATCGTGAATGGCTTTATGGTTTTCCAAAGGATTTATTGACGTCGTTCGGTGGTTGAAACACCGATTCAGCGATTATATGAGGCGATATGGTGTACTCTTTCAACATACCTTTGGCTCCTAATGTTGATTCCTGTTTTTCTTTTGTTATGTCAACTGTAACTATTTTTTTTTATTTATTTCCGACTTCATCTCAAGTCCCGCCTTTTTCTTCAACTCGATCGATATGGAAAATGTGATTGGACAGTAATTTTGTTCAATATGCCATGAAATGATTGGCTATTATTTTCGGTTGGCAGAGGAAAGGTGGGGGAGAGTGGGGACAGTTGCAACACTTTTTGCATTTCTTTCCGTTTCTCTAAACTCTAAATTTTTAAATAATAAACCCACATCTATCAGACACCAACCCACATTGTTATAATATTTTTACATATGGTAATATATGCAGGATTTAAACTTGAACAGACAAAGTCAAATCTTGCAACTGCCCCCAAGCAGGGGGATGGTTGCAACAACAACCCATGGGGACAGTTGCAACATTGAAATGTTGATAAAACAAGTTCCAGAACATCAGGTTGGGTGTTATTTACGTTTTCAGGCTATATGTAAGTTGGTTAAATTGTTAGATTTGGTAAATTGAACATATAATACTGACTAGTAAAAGTAAAAGCAACAACTATGTTTTGGCCATTTATCAGGCCTACAAAAAAACCTGAACAAAAATGTCTTTACTGAAACTCAAGACTGAAACTTTACTAAACTACTTTATTAAACTGCAACTTTAAAATTAATTAATTAATCAAATAATTCACTCTTTGAAATCAAATTACATTGAAACTGTAATAAAATTTAAATTGTAATGTAATTGTAATGACAAACTTTTAAATGAATATTGTAATTGGGGACAGTTGCAACAGCATCGTACTTTTACCCATGAGTAGGGCCAGACTGAATCCACGGACAATCTTTGCTATTTCTGAGGAAAGTTTTGGTAAAAATCTGCAGATTTCTGAGAAATTGTATTGGGAGTATCATAACTAAAACCTTAATATATGAAATAAAAAGTAATACCCTTTAAACTTTTATTTAATGTTTAAAATGCAAATCCAATTAGATTCACTTTTTTTTTAACAAAGCAAGTCTTTCATATAATATATCTGAGACAGAAAATATTACTGTACAAACTGCAGAAATCAGATGAACATTTTCATATTAGTCAATAATATTACTACTATTATTGAAAAACTGAGTAAATTTAGATTTACCCACATTTACTAAATAAACAGAATTAATGATATATATGATATATATAAAATATCAAATGCCTCATTTGCCTCATATATCAAATGCCTCATTTGGGTGAGAAAAGTCTGTTCACTCACCATTAAGAGCATAGTCTGTTAAGAAAGATAGACAGCATATTTCTACTTCCAGTGTTTAAAATTAGCCTAAAATGCTCCAATCTTTTAAGAACAGATCATAATGGAGGGCAGTGTTTATGACCTTCAGGCACGTGCACACATAGGGCTCAACCCATGCAGTGCATATGCCCTTATTGAGTCTTCAAAATAAAGCCCTTCCAAAATGAGTCGCTGATGGGGTTTTCTCCATAAACCCCATCAGCGACACTGAATATATATATATATATATATATATATATATATATATATATAAATATGGAATTAAGTTATATGAATGAATAATGTTTCACAAAAACAGCTTAGACCGAATGAGAATGTTTTTTTTAACATTAAAAAAATACTTTTTTTTACTTCAAAATTATACTGAAAGAATTCTTACATGTCTGATTTCTTTCTGGCTAAAGGAGGATCTAACTGAGAATATGTAGGATGAATATATCCTAACACTAGCTTATTCCTGAATGGAAGAATAAGTCTTGTTACAACTGCCCCATGTTGCAACCCTCCCCACTCTATTAAAGCTCAGTAACTGTTTTTATTTTTTATAAATCAGCGTTTTTTTTTAACCAAGTCCGAACACCTAAAAATATTGCTAAAATATGAAACCATGTCTGCGATGCGGTGGCACAGTATGTAGTGCTGTCGCCTCACAGCAAGAAGGTCGCTGGTTTGAGCTTCGGCTGGTTCAGTAGGTGTTTCTGTGTGGAGTTTGCATGTTCTCCCTGCGTTCGTGTGGGTTTCCTCCGGGTGCTCAGGTTTTTCCCCCACAGTCCAAAGACATGTGGTACAGGTGAATTGGGTGAGCTAAATTGTCCGTATACTGTATAGACTATACAATAAAGTTATGTTTTTGATGTGATCATCTTTGTAGCCAAACACTGTGAGCTTCCATTAGTCCATTAACACAGTGCCAGAGCCATAGATTTGATGAAATATTGCTTGCAATGGCATCATTATAGGACTACTCTAAAAAGACTTCCCAGAATCCATCAAATGCCTCATTTGGGTGAGAAAAGACTGTTCACTCACCATTAAGAGCATAGTCTGTTAAAAAGATAGACAGCATATTTCTACTTCCAGTGTTTAAAATTAGCCTAAAATGCTCCAATCTTTTAAGAACAGATCATAATGGAGGGCAGTGTTTATGACCTTCAGGCACGTGCACACATAGGACTCAACCTGTGCAGTTTATATGCCCTTATTGAGTCTTCGATATAAAGCCCTTCCAAAATGAGCTGAAGTGCCCTAGCGACTCCCCCCCCCCCCAGGTCTTCATTTCGTGCGCGACAACCAATCTGATGCTTCATGATGTCCTGAAAGAATGACGTTCAATTTTCTCCATAAACCCCATCAGCGACACTGAACAAATATGAGCGCAGAAGTCTTCTGTATGCAACTTCCAGGCTTGAAATGATTCCTCAAGTTCTATTTGGAGAATTGACACCATTCTGGTGTCTCAGTGCAATGCAGGAGTGTGTCCGATGACAGCTTTTCTGTCAGTCAATGCAAAGCTCACCACTTTAGTAGCTTTCTTTTTAGTTGTTTTTACAGTCTTGTTTTTGAAAGCTTGCAAGTTCCACCCTTTTGATTTGTTGTCAAGCCCCATGTAATCTAAAATGTTATTTTACACATACAGTGACACATACAGTTGAGATCAGAATTATTAGCCCCATTTATTTTTTGTCCCATATTTCTGCTCCCTTATTTCTTTCCAAGAAGATTTTTACAGCACACTTCTAAACATAATAGTTTTAATAACTCATTTCTAATAACTGATTTATTTTATCTTTGCCATGATGGCAGTACAATATATATAGCTACATGTTTTTCAAGACACTAGTATTCAGCTTAAAGGGCGATTTAAAGGCTTAACTAGGTTAATTAAGCTGGTTAGGGTAATTAGGAAAATATTTTTTTTAAAAGCGGTTTGTTATGTAGACAATCGAAAAGAAAATTAGCTTCAATGGGCTAATAATTTTGACCTAAAAATGGCTTTAAAAAAAATTTAAAACTGCTTTTATTATAGCTGAAATAAAACAAATAAGACTATCAGACACACTGTGAAAATTTCCTTGCTCTGCTAAACATCATTTGAAAAATGTTTGAAAGAGAAAGGGGGCTAATAATTCTGACCTCAACTGTACTTTTAGTCAAATTCGCATAATCTGACATAGTCACTGACCGAAAACAAAGTCTACAAGCTACTAATTTTGAACTACTAAAGTGGAAACACATCCTGAATTCTAACTTTTTCCAAAAACGAAGTTCCTGTTTTTTAGATCCTCGTGTTCTTCCTCATTCTCCGAGCAGATGTCTTTTTTGTGTTCTGTCTCTTTTTTGTTCATGAAATGTAACACAATCAGAAAAAGGGCAGAAACCAGAAGAGCCACACCCGCCATCAGGAAACCAGCGCCATAGTCACTCATTTTGTCAATGAAGATTCCTGTAGACAGAGGAAGAAATTACTTAATTGCTGTCAATTTAACATGAGAATAAAGCTGCACTTAATATACACACTGAATTAATGCAAAAAAAAAAATAATGCAGGGAAACAAAAATCAATTAATATACATATAAAAAACATAAAACCATTATATTGTTATATTTTTGGCTTCTTTTGTCAACAATGAAAATTAACTGTAGACATCCATCCTGCATGTGCCTTTTCTCCCCATTAAACTCCAAGCAATGCAAATGTTTTCTGAAATTGGTATGTATTTGACTAGGTCTGTATGGGACACTACACCATACCGGCAAACATTTGTCTGTGAAAACCCTGGTGGTGGGGGTTCGGGGGTGAGATGTCTGAAATACTGTGGTGTTAGTAACTATGGAGCGGTTTTCGGGCGGCAATCGGATACTATACCAAAGTTGGCGACCCGGGGAGGGGTGGAATTGAAGTTAGAGGTGGAGTCAGGGGAGTTAGGGCTGGGGCAGTGAAGTTGAAATTATGGGAGTTTTTTAGGAGAAATAACAAAACAGGAGGGTGGTGGAAGACGGGTCTGAAATACGGGAGACGGAAATACACAATGTTTCAAACTAAATTTCAATGTGTCATCTTGGGGCACACATCATCCCACACAATTATCCATTACTCAAACTATTGACGTTTTAACAAGGTTAAGTGCTTAACACCATTACCATATAAATGAACAAAAATATATGCATCTAGCTTAAACGGGATAAAATTTTGCATATTTTAATGGATTTCTAAGTGGTCATTTTTGTCCTAAAGGCACTGAGTGTAACTAGGTTTTATACCTAGTGTAAACTAGACTTCTAAAAAGAAATGTTTTTTTCAAGACAACCAAAATCACAAAACACTTAAATAGTAGACTTAGGGCTCTATTTTAACAATCTGGGCGCAAAGTCTTAAGCGCATGGTGCAAAAGCATAAAGGGCATGTCTGAATCCACTTTTGTTTTTTTAAAGATAAAAAATACGCTTTGCGCACAGGGGCATGGTCTAACAGGGTTGTGCTTATTCTCTTAATGAGTTAAGCATAACGTGCATTAAACCAATCAGAGTCTCATCAACTATTCCCTTTATGATTCTATTTAAATGGTGGACTTTGTAAGGTCAAAAACCGAATGCTTCACTAGCGAAAAAACAATTAAACAAACCATCTGCAGTGTGAGGATAAAGAACGAGCCTCCTCCATTTGGCCTCTTTACTTTCTCTTTACTTTCTCCTTTACTTTCGCAGCGTTGTATGCAACCCACTGAAGACATCCATTAGCCTACATATGTAATTTCCTACATATGTAATTTCGTTAAACGCAGAGATTTGTTTCCAAACTATTTCTAAGTTCAGTTCTAATTTCCAGCAAACAAATAAACTAAAAAAAGTCCCCCGAGATGAAGAAGGCATTGAGGAAGTGGTTTTTATATTTATGTAGAAAATAATATTTTAATACTTTATTTTTTCATATGTAAAGATATTTGTGTATTGCTGTACATCCTGTGTGTATTTAGCAATGGACCTGCATAGGCGCATAACTAACGCACTCTGCACTGGACTATAGACCAGTTTTTATTTGGTCAGTCTATTTTAGTTTCTTAAAATAGCAACATGTCAACAGTGCACCCTAACACAACTCCTTTATAGACCAGCACACTCATGAGTCCACAAAGCGGCGCAAATGGATTTGCTATTCAAATAACATGGGGCACCACGTGAACATTAGGGTTGCGCTGGTCTGAAAATAGCAAAAAATCGCGCTATTCACGTTTCACGACTTATTGCGTCGGGTGTATGAAAACACCCTGAAATTTTCATAAGTTAGCCACAAGGGTTAATGATGTACTATGATTTCCTTAATTCTGAAATGAACAGTCAAATAATTCTAGGCTGCAGTTATCTAAACGATTAATTATCTAAAGAAACTACCATTTTCTCATACAAACTCTCAGTAAAAATATCTGGCTGCTGTAGGTGACTGCAAGGGCATTTGTATGCGGTTGAAGATTGTTCTGGGTAATTGCTTGTGCATAATAGTGACGCTTGCCCAAGCACCACTAATTAGCCTGCAGTTGTTCGTGCATCATTCCACCTTACGCTTTCTGAATGCGCTATACGTTCATTTAAAATAATCGATCAGTTAAAGCCCCATAAAATAGAGAGCTCTGTACAGTCAGTGACACAGTGAGTTTTTTAGCTGTCTTTTATAACGCCACAGACACAGTAAAAGAGTTTCCAAACTTACTGAGAAAAACTGCGGCGGAGTTCATTTATGGTGTAATTAGGAATTGGGAGCGTGGAAAAATACCCGTAGTGCCTAAAAAAAGCCTCTCCTCTTCTCCCAAACATCATTCTGTGCTGACAGTCCAAAAGAGACTCATATTAAGTACATTAGTCTTTCAGAATACAGATATGGTGGCGGTTTTTGGCAGCTGACGTCTCTAAATTGAAAGACGAGATTTTCTTGGAAGATTAAGTGCTAAAACGCCTGGTTTTTGGCTGCTTGGGGTGATGAATATTCCAGCTTGTGCCATGTTTTGGCAGATGTTCTTGAGAGAAAGACTGGGTAAATTGGCAACTTCTTCACATTACAAACTCATCTATTTGAAGTCTCCCTATCAGAACTTTTCATCTAGTAATCAATTACTGCTATGATATGCATTGTTGTTCTTGCCCGGATGTTTCTTTTGTTGAGTCACTGGTCACTGGACTGATGTATCATCCCACTGCTGTTTGTGCAGTTTATGCTCTGAGTGGCACTGAAAAATTACAGCCAATGAAACCAAATGAATGGTTTAAATTTGGTCAGAGCACTTCCCGCTATTGAAAAAGGAAAAGCCATTTATGCAGTGACCAATAATCCATGAAATTAACACAATAGCTGAATGCATTCCTCTGATAGGCAATGCGTTACCGGAAGATAACATAGTATTACTGTAAATTGAGTGCTGTCAGGCATTAATGAGAAACCTTATCAAAGAAATATGATGACGGAAGGAAATGCATTAGGATGATAAAAGGCTTTCTAAACAATAAAACAGGACATCTTGTGTATGTACAATGTCAGTCCATGGGGTAACCTCAGAAAGCCACTTATATATAGACCCAGCTGGTGGACACCACTCATCCAATAAATATAGGGAAAAAACTAATCACACATTTTATATTATATATTATATTACTTTTATGTAGGGCCAGACAGAATCTGCCGACATTTTTGGCTATTTCTGCTAAGAATTTTGTAAAAAATTTGCAGATTTTTTAGGTAATTTATGAGGTAATTGGTACTCAAAGCCAGTCTCTCAAATAAAATATTTACTAAAAGACAGAAAATACTATTTTACGAACTGTGTTGTAAATAAATAATAAAAACATTTGTATGTTACTATTAATAAATCACAATAAAATTTGTGAAATTAATTTAAAAACTGGATAAATATAAATTTATTTACACAAGTAAATACATAGACTCAATGATGGGCTGAACATCTGTGAAAATCTGCGGATTTCTTGCCGCACAGATTCCGTCTGGACCTATTTATATGTTATATTATTTATTTGCATTTCTTATTTATTTAATGTAATTGTTATGTACTGTTTTAAGCATTGAATATATTTATTTTAATTTGTAATTAAATTTTTTATAATTTAATAATCTTTGCATTATGATACAATCTAAAAATAATAATAATAATAAATATTGTAAAGTGGTTCATATTTATTCATTTGTTGAATGTGTGAGGTAAATCACAATAATACAGTATAATATAATCTAATACTTTATACAACAGTTCTGTCTGGTTGTTGAAACTGATTGGCCGATAGCTGTGCTATATTCTGCCAGTAACAGTACTCGTCCAGCCTCTTCACACCCTTCACCCCTGTGTATTACTCCACTCACATATAGCAACAAGCTAAGGACACTATAGTTTGACAAATATTGCAGCTGTTGTGCAGCGTAATGTATTTTTTAGGCTTTTTTAGTCGATAATAGTTGTTTAGACTGAACTATGCAGTTTATTTACAAGGAAAATGTCTATTTTAAAATAATTATAATTTCTGAGAGACAGCGCATCCGCGGCCATTAGCCAGTCATTGAGCAGATCAAAACCAGTTTTTGTTGTCTATCCACAAGATGGCTACAGAGACTGCATAATAAGCATTTAAAGGAAGAATAGTGTCATTTTAAACTACAGCTGATTAAATAATTATAAATCAGGTAAGTGATAATCTAAATCGAGTCGAGAATAATCTCTCTCTTTTGTATGTTGCAGTGCTGTATTATACCGTAGTAAGTGTATTGTGTTGAATGTGAGATGGGACTCATCTTAAAGTCTTAAAACCAGAGATGGCCATCTGTTTCTAATGAGTCTCCTGTTTTGTCATCACTATATCAGGGGTGTCAAACTTATTTTAGCTCAGGGGCCACATGGAGTAATATCTGTTCACAAGTGGGCCGGACTGATAAAATCATGGTATATGTAACTAAAAAACAACAAAGAGGGGGGTGCGCGATGTATTTGAAGACCGGGGGTTGGGGGCATAATGGGGAGAGTGGTTGGGTTGTTGCGTATTTGAAGAGTGGTGGGAGGGGAGTGTGTGGCAACGAATGTGAAGCTATGATGTGAAGACAAGTGGGGAGAGAGGGGTGCGCAACATATTTGAAGAGCAGGGGACAGGGTGAGACGCACGATTTCCGGGAGATTAACATTCGTTTGCAAGCTTCTAGGAGTCTTCCACATATGCATAAATTTCCAATTTAGTACAATTTTGTACGATTTGCTTATCCACCAATGATAGTTGGATTTAGGGGCGAGGTTAGGTGCCACGCCTTCTTTTTAAAGTGGTACATTTTTGTACAACTGAACTCCTACGAATTAGCCACTAAACTGATAAAATGTAAAATAGTTATGTTTCCTCGTGAGATCACCTCAGTGTGGTATGACGGGCTGTAGATGTGGTCTTTCTTTCTGAGAAGGCTGTCAAACTGACACTGATCCAGGCTTCTGGATTGGATAAAATTAATAGTTTGCCATTCCACCATCCAGTGGACACAATTGGACCAGCAGTTTCTATTATTGAAAAATTGCAGCTCATTTGATACTTTACAGAATTAACTGGCGGGCCACAATAAACCCGTTTGTGGGCCTAAAGTAGCAACCGTTCCTGCTGTTCTGATGACAGCTTCAGTTGTGAAAAAACGGTGGAAGAAAGTAGTTCCTCATATAAAAGGATTTTTTAAAACTCTGCGTAAACGCAAAATCACAGTTATAGCAGTGCCATATGGCTGTATAATGTACAGTGTAATATAATATAATATAATTAATATAAATAATAAGAAATATATACAGTATAATTTTTATATATATATATATATATATATATATATATATATATATATATATATGGGCGAGGCAGTGGTGCAGTAGGTAGTGCTGATGCCTCACAGCAAGAAGGTCGCTGGTTCGAACCTCGGCTCAGTTGGCGTTTCTGTGTGGAGTTTGCATGTTCTCCCTGCGTTCGCGTGGGTTTCCTCCGGGTGCTCCGGTTTCCCCCACAGTCCAAAGACATGTGGTACAGGTGAACTAGGTAGACTAAATTGTACGTAGTGTATGAGTGTGTGTGTGAATGTGTGTGTGGATGTTTCCCAGAGATGGGTTGCGGCTGGAATTATATATATATATATATATATATATATATATATATATATATATATATATATAATTTTTTTATTAATTTGTGTATTAGATTCCATCATATTTTATTATATTTAATAAAACGTATATTATATTATTATACATTTTTGTTAATATAAAAATATTATTATATTTTTACATTTGTGTATTATATTATATTATATTATATTATATTATATTATATTATATTATATTATATTATATTAGTGTTGTAACATACGCAATAAATAAATAAATCAAATAAATGTGATTTATAATTAAATGCATAATGTAAATAATACATGAGGTCTTTAACTTCATTTCCCAGTCCTTACTGGTTAAAGTCTCTCACCTGCCAAAGGTGGTCCCAGAAGGCCGCCACTGCTGCGGATGAGCATGAAAAAGCCCAGTGCGCTGCCCAGTCTCTCCACCCCGACCACCTCCGCCAGCACAGTAATGTGAATAGCAACAGTCGCTCCAAACACCAGCCCGTATCCTGCACTGAACACCGCCAGCTGTGTGAATGTAGTCGCCAGCGGACACAACAATAAAACAGCCCCCAACAAAACCACTGTGCCGATCAGCTGATGCACCGTCTCCACCAGCCGCAGATTAGCCACCCATCCAAAAAACACCCGGCCCAGAAGATCCAGCACGGCAGAGATGGACATGAGCGAAGCGGCCTGGTACTCCTCCACTCCTTGACTGCGTGCGTAGGGTACTAAAAAAAGAGATGGAGCGAAGAAACCAAGAGCAGCGAAGATGCCAAACATTGAGTAGACCATGAAGCGAGAGTTAGCGATTAGCGTGTAGTCGACGTAGCGAATGACTTTGACCTTCATCGGATCTGAATCTGCCCTGTTATTTGAACATTTAGAGAGCTCGTGTTCATTCTCTTCTATGCTGTCTTTAAAGTAATCATGTCTGCTTAGTGGTCTTAAAAGAGCCCCACACACGCACAGGTTGAGCTGCAGAGCTCCGAGGATCAGCATGGCTCCTCTCCAGGAAAACTGATCCACCATGAGCTGGAAGGACGGAGTGAGGATGAAGGTGAGGAGACATTCTCCTGTGCTGGACAGAGCGTTGGCTACTGGACGCCGCTTGTCAAAGTACCAGCCCAGCATGGTGACGGTGGGGGTCCAGGTCAGGGCATAGCCAAACCCTGCAGAAGACAGTAGAGAAAGGACATACTATATTCAAACATTTTTTTTTGCAGCTTATTTTTAATGACTTATTTGAAATGTGCTGAAACATCACAATTCCTGTTTTTTTTTTGTTTTTTGGTGACAAATGAATTGTTTTAATTTCAATATATAAATAAGTTAATTAGGTCACACTTTATTTTGATAGTCTGTTTGTTAAATTTAAGTTTCATTGCATCTACATGCCAACTAATTATCATTAGATTATAAGTAGACTGTTAAGTTGGGGTTAGGGTTAGTGTAAGTTGACATGTACTTGCAAAGATTCTTATTGTCAGTTAAATGTCTGTGGATGGAGCAGTATCAGCAGATATTAAGCAGACAATCTACTAATACTCAAATGGACCATCAAAATTAAGTGTTACCGTTAATTTAATTGATATGTGTTGGGACAACATGAAAGAATTGTGTGGAAACAAGCGTTTTTTTCACAATGTATGTGCATATACAGTGTCCCCCATTAATATTGATACACCCTTGGTAAATATGAACAAATATGAGCCTGTGAATTTTCGTTTTTGTTTCAGATATTAGGCCCACATTACAAAAAAAAAGCAAAACATATATTTACATACTACAGTCTCTATTTAAAAACATATGAAGAGTTCAGATGCAAAATATCTTGTTGAATCTATGCCACGAAGGATTAAGGCAGTTCTGAAGGTAAAAGGGGGCCAACCCAGTATTAAGGTGTACCTAATAAAGTGGCCACTGAGTGTGTGAATAATGTTGAACATAATGTACATTATACATAGCTAAACTAAGTGGCACTTAAACAAAAGCAGCTGAATTTAACAAAAGGAATAACTTGTTTTTATAAAAGAAACTATAACGAAGACGAATAATTAAAAACGAAAAAAGAATTAGAGTATATGTGCCAACTCTGAGTAATGAGCCAAGGAAACCTTCATTGTTTTCATACCTTGAATTCTAAAGCAGGAACATTTTTCCTCTCCCTTTGCAATGTCCTGAATCTGAAAGGCTCATGAATAAGATCCCATTTAGCGGCTATAAATGGCTAATGACCTTTTCTACTTGTGAATGAACAGTGAAACACATTGGAGCGTGAATATGTGAGGACAGCCGTATGCTCCCGTGCTCTTACCTGTGAGAAACCCCACTGTGATGTACAGCTGTAGCAGATCCTGGGCGAACGACCCGAGCACCATCCCGACGCTGCTCAGCAGACCTCCCGCCATCACCACTGGACGATGACCAAAGTACGTGCTCAATGCGGAGCCTACAGGCGCTGAAACACAAACACACATGACACACACAGACATGACATACTGCACTGGCAGGAGCTTCTGTATCAGATACTGTAATGCTTGCAAACTGAAATAGTTATTATAGACTCATAATATTTTGAAGTGTGATTCAGAGAACATGGATGTGTGTTTAATAAATATTAAATGTCTACAATGAGCTTAAGATGCATCTTATTCACTCAAACATGAAGTGTAACAAAGTTTTTACCAAATTACATCCAACTTTAGTGCAAATAGACAAAAAGGGTCTTGTTAACAAGCAATTCTTCAATATAAAAAAAATATATCTGTAATAAATCTTAGAATGCAACTTTTTGAACAACATTTTGAAATAATGTTGTAAACCTGTAACCACTGACTTACTGCATACAAACTCACTGGCCACTTTATTAGGTACACCTGTCCAACTGCTCTATAACGCAAATTTCTAATCAGCCAATCACATAACAACATCTCAATGCATTTAGGCATGTAGACATGGTCAAGATGATCTGCTGCAGTTTAAACCGAGCAACAGAATGAGGAGGAAAGGTGATTTAAGTGACTTTGAATGTGGCACGGTTGTTGATGCCAGACTGGCATGTCTGAAACTGCTGATCCACTGAGATTTTCACGCACATCTTTTCACCTCTAGGGTTTACAGAGAATGGTCTGAAAAGAGAAAATATCCAGTGAGCGACAGTTCTGTGGGCACAAATGCCTTGTTGATGATAGAGGTCAGAAGAGAATGGCCAGACTGGTTTGAGCTGATATAAAGCCAACAGTAACTCAAATAGTCACTTGTTACAACCAAGGTATGCAGAAGAGCATCTCTGAATGCACAACACATCCAACCTTGAGGCAGATGGGCTACAGCAGCAGAAGATCACACTGGATGCCACTCCTGTCAGTTAAGAACAGGAAATCGAGGCTACAATTCGCACAGGCTCACCAAAATTGGACAATAGAAGATTGATAAAAAGTTGCCTGGACTGATGAGTCTCAATTCGGATATTCGGATGGTAGGATCAGAATTTTAGGTCTAACAACATGAAAGCATGAATCCATCTTGCCTTGTTACAACGGTTCAGAGTGCTGGTGGTGGTGTAATGGTGTGGGGGATATTTTCTTGGCACACTTTAAGCCCATTAGTACCAATTTAGTATCATGTCAACGCCACAGCCTACCGGAGTATTGTTGCCGTCCATCCCTTTATGACCACAGTTTACACATCTTCTGATGGCTACTTCCAGCAGGATAACGTGCCATGTCATAAAGTGTGAATCATCTCAGACTGGTTTCCTGAATATGATGATGAGTTCACTGTTTTAAAATGACCTCCACATATACATATTTATACAGCATATTGTATATATGCTTTCCTAATATGAAAGTCAATGGTTACAGGTTTCCTACATTTTTCTAATTATCTTCTTTTGTGTTCAAGTGATGAAAAAACTTACATTGTTTTAAAAAAGTAAAAGGTGAACAAATGATAACAGAATTTTCATTTTTTGGGAAAAAAAACCCCAAACTTTTTAAAAGCTTGTTCTAAAAGTTTAAAGGTTTAACATTTGAATTAGTTTTAAATCTTTTTGAAGGCCATACATAGACATACAGAGACATACAGTAAATGAACAGGCAATAGGATAACTTAGCACAATGCTAGCATGTTCAAAATTGTTGCTAACATTTAACAGACTACTATTAGCTTTGTATTGCCACATTGAAAATGTTTTTAGCATGTTATAACACTCCTGCCATACACTAATTGATTTAGTGCATGATTTAGCACAAAAAAGTAGATCTGTGATGTCTAAGATGTCTGTATATTTAACAGAAAGTATAACGAAATCTACTGATTTATTTATTCATAGTTTTGATTTATTAAACCTAAGAATGTCTAACAAATACACTGAGCTTTTGTAAAACTCAAATAAAATAAACTGAAGATCTTAATATTTTATTTCACATTCACAAACAATTAAATCTGTATGATGTACAGTAGGTCTGAACTCTGAGGTTATATAGTTTACTCAAAAAACGAAGACTCTGTTATCATTTATTCACTCTTTACTTGTCACAAATTTCTTTCTTCAATTAAAACCAAAATAAGATATTTTGAAGAAAGTTGAACTCTGTTACTGTCTTCCATATATTAATTTTTTCCTATTATAGAAGTGAATGGTTACCAGTTTCCAGCTTTCTTAAAAAAATCCTCTTTTAGGTTCAGCAGAAAATAGTAAGCTATAAAGGTTTAGAACCACTTAAGGGTGAGTAAGTTATCAGTTATTTTCTGGGGTGAACTTTCCCTTTAAACTCAAAGGCAAATGTAAGTGAGAGTGTCAGTGGATAGAGCCCCCTGCTGGTGGAACAGTTAAACTCGCACATACCCCCAATATGCACCGTGGCCACAGAGATGGATGTGATCCATGAGCTTGCAGTTGCTGTAGTTGAAAAGTAGTGGTGAATTTCTACAAAGAACACACCGAAGGACTTGATTACGCCGAACGTCAGCCCAAACACAAGGAAAGTGGAGAGCACAATGAACCAGCCATAACCACCATCCAGAGGAGGACCTGCAGGCCCGGCTGTTCCTCTCTTCCTTTCCATTGAAAGCTTAATAGATCATCCTACAACTACAAAAACAAGAGGAAAAACATACAAGCAGAATGCTATGTCAGCAGTGAAGTTTTTCAAGCTTAGGAACATGACATGACAAGTGATTTAGTTCATCAATTATTATCTCCAAGTGCTAAAACAACTGAAGAATGATTAACTATATTACATGCCATAGTAACAAAACAACACTTGTACTGTAGTACATGCATTTTTCTTAATATTTTTTAGTCAGTTGCAGGTACAGTTGATGTTTATACAGGTCTCTTCTGTCATTCACATAAGGGTGGTTTCAAGAGTATAGCCAACAAGTTTACCGGTTGTGTTTATATATAGCACGTGTATGAATAGCGTGATTAGCTATAGGATGTCATGTTGGGCAAACCAGAAACCCAAATCAAAAAAACTTTCTTGGGTGATTTTTACCTTGTTTTTCAATATATGCAAGCTGATTTTATGCCTTAAAAGCTAAATATTTTTTATAAAGCGCTACTCTTAGCAATTCATTTCCCCCCAAAATATTTTATATATAAATAAGAACAAAACACAGGTAAAAATCTGTCAAAATCACTGTGAACACAGTTATTTCATATTAATATTATCATAATAACTATGTATTAGAATACAATGAGGCCCTGTATTCTGAATGTGATCAAGGCTGAAGGGTTATGTGGTTTTGTATGTGCTGGATCTTACCTCTCATGATGTCTGCTGCCTGAAATATCCCTCATTTATGTGTCCACTTTCTGCCTGATTCATCTTCACTGACACTGCATATCCATAGAGCTGCACACCCAGATACAAAGGTCAACACCAGGAAGAAGTATGGAAGTGGGAGGAAACCTGCCTGGTGTGCAGACTTTTAAATATGCTAGATGGAGAGATTATAGAGAAGGAATAAGGGTAAAACAAATTGCACTCTTTGAGTATATTGTATTTCCATAAATATATGTTAACTGTAAAATAAAAGATTATTATAAATTACAAAATAGACCAAACAAACGAACACAAAATATAAATAAAATATTAAAATAAAAACGAAATTGATATTAATAAATCCTGCTGAAATAATCATTTAATAATTATATTTCATTATTTATTAACACTAATATAATTATAATACAAAACAATATCTATTTATAAAGCAAAGTCTCAAAGACAGAGAAGAAAACAGCAATTTTTTAAAGACCTAACTATTTTCTCTTGCTTTTACTTACTATAATCATATAATAATGAAATAACAGTTATATCAAATCAAACCACTTTTATTATCACATCATTAGCAGCAGGAGTCCAATGATGAGTGAAAAGCTTAGCTGCTGCCTCCAAAACACAACAATATACCATTAACAATGTTGACAATATATAGGTAAAAGACAATAAATACATGGAAGACAGTAAATACGTAAAGAAAAACCCACATTACATAGGTGTGGACACAGATAGACTAGTACTTAGTCAAAAAGGTGTACATAGTTTGACTTTGCAGTATTGTTTTTAAGTAAAGGTATTGTTATTATTCATTCACTCATTTTCTTTTCGGGCTTAATCTCTTTATTAATCTGAGGTTGCCACAGCTAAATGAATTGCCAACTTATCCAGCATATGTTTTAAGCAGCGGATGCCCTTCCAGCTGTAACCCATCACTGGGAATGACCCATACACTCATTCACACTCACACAATTAAGCTTTTTTCAATTCACCTATAGCGCATATCTTTGGACATGTTGGGGAAACCGGAGCACCCGGAGGAAACCCACATGAACATGGGGAGAACATGCAAACTCCACACCGAAATGCCAAATGACCTTCTTACTGTGAGTCGATTGTGCTACCCACTGTGCCACCGCGACACTGAAGTTATGATGATTATTACTAATTATTTATTAATTATAATAGCATTTCCATATTTAAATGTTACACAGACAAAAGCACAACCATGAGGTGTGGATGAGAAAGTCATGATGAACGAGTGCTCATTACAAATAACTTCTCCCACAAGCAGAGAAGAAACATTCTTCTTTATAATAGGTGCTCAGTGTCTTTCACACAAATACTGAACACCATCACAGTAACACACATGGAAATTAAAGCAATGCGATAAACATTACTTATGTTCACATTAGATGTAACAAAAACTTAACAGAGCAAGGAAATTTTAACAGTATGTCTGATAATATTTTTTCTTCTGGAGAAAGTCTTATTTGTGTTATTTCGACTAGAATAAAAGCAGTTTTTAATTTTTTAATAACCATTTTTAGGTCAAAATTATTTGAGTTGCAGAGTTTAACAAACCATCGTTATACAATAACTTGCCTAATTACCCTATAGTAAACCTAATTAAACTAGTTAAGCATTTAAATGTCACTTTAAGCTGTGTAGAAGTGTCTTAAAAATATCTAGTCAAATATTATTTACTGTCTTCATGTCAAAGATAAAATAAATCATTTATTAGAAATGAGTTATTAAAACTATTATGTTTAGAAAAGTGTTGAAAAAATATTTAAAGAGAAATATTAGGGAAACTTACTGTTAAACAAGTTACAGATTTTTTACCGTATAATTTTGACATTTTTTCTCTATTGAAATCACAGCCATTTTTTTGGAGGAATAAAAAAGTCATCATATTACATATTTGTCAGTAAGTACACTTTACAAATCAATACAATTTGCATTTGCTGGAATGGCTCTAAGTTTTTAAATTCTTACTTACAAAATCCCAAATGGTGTTATTCCATGATTCTGTTATTATCCCATTATTGTGAGCAGAGCTTTTGTTGTTGTGCTGCAGGAGTTGCACAACTTGCGCACATGGTTGATCTCTGGACCTGCAAGCAAACAAGCTGCTTTGTAAATGGATTACTCTGAACTTGCGGAGTACATGATTCTCTAAAGCATAATAACAAGATGTGCAAAAAGTAACCATTAATTATTAACTACATCATGTTTATTTTCAACCCTGTTCCGCTGGATATTTCATATAATGCAAATCTACAGTGCATGCAATAATTCCAGGCAGAAAAAAAGTTTCTTTATGTAATTGATAAAATATGATGAGCTTTCTGGTGTATTTAGTGCTGGAACTGTATTTTTAAATAAGCTAAATTGTGCTTTGTGTGAGAGCATCTATAATTAAATGCTTTCATTTGTCAATTCGTCATCTTAGAATGATAAGGATCTATCTGACATTTTTTTCAGAATTGAGTTATTTACATATTCTTATTAAATGGCAGCTTATTTACATGATGTGCTGTTTTTTATAGGCTGTTTACATTTTAAGATCTTTTATTTAAAAAACAAAACAAAAAAAAGGTTTCATCTACAAAGTGGAGCTCTAGCTTGGCTCTGAAAGGTTCTTTCTGTGAGTTAATTAGCATTTCGAATGCACACACGAAGACCAATCAGGATCTTTTTTTTTTTTTTTTTTTGTCATTTCACTAGCTCTGCTGACAGCGGGAAAGACCAGAAAGAAACACAAAATGAGAGTCGACTATATAATGCCGTGCCACACAAAACTTAGAAGTAACCTAAAACTGAAAACGTGTGTAACTGTGATGATTTAGACGCATTTTTGACATTAAGATGAATGTTCAATTTTACATTGTTGAAAAAAGTTATTTAATAAATGATATATTAAATGTGAAATATTTTTATTTGTGCATATAAAGTCAGTGAAACATTTTTCAGTGTTTATTAAACTCATTTGCTCATTAGTTTTCTATTCATTCATTCATTCATTCATTTTCTTTTCAGCTTAGTCCCTTTATTAATTAGGGGTTGCCACAGCGGAATGAACTGCTAACTTATCCAGCACGTTTTTACACAGCGGATGCCCTTCCAGCTGCAACCCATCTCTGGGAAACATCCACACACACTCATTCACTACGGAAAATTAAGCCTACCCGATTCACCTGTATCGCATGTCTTTGGACTGTGGGGGAAACTGGAGCACCTGGATGAAACCCACGCAAACGCAGGGAGAACATGCAAACTCCACACAGAAATGCCTACTGACCCAGCCGAGGCTCGAACCAGCGACCTTCTTGATGTGAGGCGACAGCACCCCCTGCTGCTCCACTGCATCGCCTGTTTTTTTTCTTTTAAAGTCTTTAAATTTGATATTAAACCTTGAAGGGCAAATGCTTAAATTAATTCATGGGGCATTCATGGGGTATAATACAATCAATATAATTCAATGGTTCATATAAAGCATAAAATTCAATAAATATTTTCATAAATATTTATTATTTATATATTATATATATTATTTATGCTACAAAAATAATAATAAAAATGAAAAAAGGATATGCCACCAAAAAAGACTACCACACAGGCGGAGGAGGTTGACGATATTAAGCAATCGCTGGCTTAAACCAGCGACTTTCTTGCTGTGAGGCGACAGCACTACCTACTGCGCCACCGCGTCGGTGCTACCAAATTATGTTCATGTGAAATCTCTTTGTGCATCGAAGTACACATTTGATGACTGTTTAATAAAAAAGTATATAAATAACAAAGTTAGACTATTTAAAAGTCTGGACTTTTTGAAGAAATTAAGGGTTTTAAGCTAAGATATGGCCTCTAAAGTATCAAAATTGTCTTTAAATCTTTCCAATCCCCGTCCAATAATGTTTTAAATTCTAATTCACAATATGTGTGTCAAATATTTAGTTGTTATCAAGTTGCAACCTGTAATGTTGGACTACTGGCAACCTATTTACAATTTCCTTCATTTCTTTTTTCATAAACATTATTTCACCCGTAGAAACGAGAAACAGTCCAGTAGCCTAAATCTCATCTGAGTTTTATTGATTATTGTGGGTCATTTAATCTTCCTCTGATGTACTACGTACAGCAAAAAAAAATAAAAAATTGTTTCGAAAAACAAATTAAAAGGAAGGAAAATTAAATAAGCTCGAGGGGCAATAAAAACGAGTTTCGTTAATGTTCTCTCTCCTTCCTTTATGCATGTAAAGTGGGAAAGTGTTTCCTAAAAGGAAGGCTGAACTGTCAAACGAGCATAAAACTGCCAACTTCAAATTCATTCAGCTGTAATTTTTATGGCTACCGGAGAGGCACTTAAACACAATTCATTATGAAATACTGTAGATGCAGAGTACTATTACAGAAATGCCATAAAAATACTGTGTGGCTAAGAAAAACTCAAACTCCAAAAGAAAAATGCATACATGCTAATATACAATAAATGGAATGACAAACATTTAAAAGATCCTGCATGCCTCAGTGTGTCTGGTGTGGCAGTAAATTGGAAAAAATAAAAAAAAAGCCAGTTATTATGACTTTTGCTTTTTGTTCTGCTTATTTAAAATGAGCTGAAATAACACAACAGGTATTTTAGGACTACTTACTTGTTTTAAGTTCAATTTAAGTAACTTAATTTACTTTAATCTACAAAATCTGTAAAAACTAATAAGTTAACTAAATTCCTTTGGGTTGTACCAACACAAATCGATTGTGTAGAGCCCAATAATCTTTTGACAGTGAATATATGGAGCGTTTAAAGAAAATTTGATCATTTATTATTCATAAAAGCAACATTTATAAATTAATATAACTTTACATGAATAATAATTCAGTAAGGACTTAGCATGTACTCTGACATAATAATACATCATACGTTTCTTTCTTGAAATGAAAATTAATTCTAGTTCCAAAATGTACCATTCAAGGATTTAGGGTTGTTTTTGAAAAAAAGAAAAGTATTTTACTCTCAACAACTTTAGGAAACTCTACAATTTTAGGAAAGTTTGTTTTAGAAATATAAAGAGGGTTATTGTGTCTCTTAATCTCACAGTTCTGTTTTTATAAAACAATAGTTTTTTTTTTAAAACTGATGTTCAAAAGCTTTCCAGGGCCACAAAAATATCAGTGCAAATTAACATCACAAAGTACAAACATTTTTTTTGTTTTGTTCCTATTTTTAAAGAAAAGCAAAGCCAATAACTACTGAATAATACATTTGACACTTTTTATTCAAAATTGTGGAATTGTGAAAAAAATGCTTGTGGAATTGGAAGTCTGCAGTTGCCATTTTTATTCTAAAAAGTGTCCACACCTTTTTATATTAATCATTTAAATTGATATTATTTGTTTTATATATTTAGGAATATTCGTTCATTCATTTTCCTCTGGCTTAGTCCCTTTATTCATCAGGGGTCGCCACAACAGTATGTACCATCTGCTATTCCAGTGGATGCCATTCCAGCTGCAACTCAGTACTAGGAAACTACATACACTCTCCCACACACATACACTATGGCCAATTTAGTTCATTCAATTCACCTATAGCACATGTCTTTGAAAAATGCCAACTGACAGCTGGGACTCAAACCAGCGACCTTCTTGCTGTGAGACTAAAGACTAACTGTAGAGCTGTAGTTGCAAGTGCTCTAGTTTGCGATGCAGTTTGCGAATGTTTGTTGGATCGATGGATTTGGGAAAACGGCAAATCAACAAACTATGTTTGTAATGACGGAGCTTGCAACACAATCTTACAGCAATTCCTACTTTTTTGATTTAGTGGCTAATTTGTATGAATTCGTATGATCTAATTCGTACAATTTATTACGAATTGCTCATCCCCCAATGACGGTTGGGTTTAGGGGTGGGGTTAGGTGCCACGCCTCCTTTTTAAAATTGTACATTTTCGTACGACTGAACTTGTACGAATTCGTACGAATTAGCCACTAAACTGGCAAAACGTAAAATACTAACGTTTTCTTGTGAGATCAGGCTGGAACTTGCGACCTTAGTTGGCTAACGATGGTTTTGGGAAATGCACCCCAGACTGGTTCTAGCAAATAGAAAGACAATAAAGAATCACTGTTTACAACGAGATCTGCAGAACACCATCTATGAACACACAACACTTCAGGCCCTCAGATTGAAGGAGTGACACCACACTGGTGTCACTCCTGTCAGCAAATAACAGGAATCTGAGGCCACTATTTACACAGGCTCACCAAAACTAGACATTAAAAGGAGCGTCTCTTCTGATGAGTCTTCTGTTGTGATATTTAGTAGAGTTAAAATTTGGACAACATGAAAGCATGGATGCCTTTTTTACTGTATCAGCAATTCTGGCTTTTGAGGGTGGTGTAATAGTGTGGTGGATATTTTGTTGGCACACATTAGGCCCATTGGTACCAAGCCTACATGAGTATTGTTGCTGAATAAGTTCATTCTTTCATGCCCATATTGTTAAGGCTCCTTCCAGCTGGATAAAGCACCATGTCGCTCATCTCAAACTGACTTATTGAACACGACAATGAGTTGATTATACCCAAATGGCCTGCACTATCAGAACTAATCCAATAGCGCTGCCTTAGGATGTGCTGGGATGGCAGATTTGCATAATGGATTTACAGCTGTACATAATGGATATACTGCCAAATCGGCAACAACTGTGTGATGCGATCATGTCAATGAGAACCAAAATCAATGAGGACCTCGTTAAATCCTTGCCATGAAGAATGAATGCAGTTTCGAAGGCAATATATGTTCCAACTACACTTTAAAAAAGATTTTTTGCTGCTTGTATAAACTACTTATTTAAAATGAGCTGAATTAACACTATTCTAAAGTCTTTCCAGAGTATGTTCAATCTACTTAAATTTCTAAGAACAATTGACTTTACCTAACCGATTTGTGTGAAGGAATTGTGTGGGATCCAGCATTTTTTTACAGAGCAGGTACTAGCAATATGGTGTTGGTGAGTGTTTAGTGGAATAACATGTTGTGACGTTGAACTGTATGTTCTAACTTTGTCATTGCTAGAAGGGCATCCTTACCTGGCAGTCCTTCCACTCCAGTGGCTTTCACCCAAAAAGCACAGGTGTCTCTGCACTTACCCAGATGGCTTTGCTGTTGATTACAAAACCTGGGAATCACAAAAGCATGAGAAGCACAGCATCTCTTTGGAACATAAAGATCATCTAAATCTCAATTCCGCCCCAAATTGTCCTGTTAGATTACTATTCTCAGAAGCTACAAGCACTATTCTTCCAGAATGAAGACAGAATGTATATCATTTTGACTTGGACACAAAGATGCTGGGCAATTTTAGTTATAAATCAGTGTAATGCAAATGCAAATGAGGTGTTCTTACAAGTAATAGCATGCATTACATTTAACTTTTGAATCACTGTCCCAGTAGAGAGGTGCACACTTTTTTCAAACTGAGCATGAAACGCATATTAACTAGTCTATTCTAATATAAGGTACATTTACACAATCCCATTTTTTACCTAAAAATTTAAAAATGTTTATGCATTTTGGCTGTTCATTTACAAAATAGCATCATTTTGAAAACTTCTGAAAAATGCTAAACAACAATGCTGCCCTATAGGACTGTATGTGCACAGGTGTGCAGAGGTTCTTTACAAGGTAACATTGCCATCTACTGGCCAGGCATGCATAATACAAATCCAGGCTGATTATTGATACGTACCCCTGCATACATTTGTGAACAGCTTGAAATATGTCCCAGGAGATACTTCTTTTGCAGTTTTTGTTTTTGCGAATCCACCAGAGGGCACTGTGTACGCTTTTTCAGATCCCAAATGTCTCTTGTGAGTGCCTTTCGCACCTGTTCTTCTCATGTAAATCCACCAGAGGCCGCTGTTGACTGACTGACAGACTGAAAGACCTATCCCCTTACCCACTCTTACCTAAACCAAACTGATAGTGTTTTCAAAATCACAGACTGACCCGCCACCGTCTTCCCTAAACCCAACCGACAGTGTTTTCAAAGCAGTACAGAAAAAGAAAAGCCCTCGTGGCAGCCTGATTTTTTCCACGTTTTCAGATCTTACCACCTTCTCACCCTGTTATTTACTTGTTTATTTATTTTTGCCTTTCGTTTATGTTTTACCTGCTTTCTAGAACCGTTCTTCGCTGGACTCACACCCCGTCGCTGCTGTCAACTCCTCTTCATGTCTCAAGTCCGCTGACATACATGGTGAGCCACCGCGCAAACTGATAAATGGTAACGGAGGTAAGTACTCAGCTGGTAGAGAAAAAAGAAACAGAAGGCGTCAGCGGCGTCATGCGGAATGCAGCGATACGTAGCTCTGGCAACATAATTTGTGCTCTCCAGAAATGTATACGAGGCATTAAGTACATTGTTATAATGTAAACATACCATTGAAATTGATTTAAAATAGTGGGAAACTGGCTTAGATGGTATTTTACGTTTTGCCCATTCACATCATATTTGCAACTTATAAATCATTCCCACATGTTTACATAGAGAGTGTTAGGTTTATTTCAGAAATGAGTTGAGAATGAATCATAAATTAGCGCTTTGGGTGTATGGCCATACACAATAAATGCGCTATATGAATACACATTACATTACATAAATTAATTTCTTAATTTAAGCTAAATGTAAAAAGAGAATTTAGAAGATAATTTCAACTAAATTAATTTAATACTGTAAAAGGGTCTGTCATTTGTCACTGATATAATGTGGCAATTTCATTGCACTTGTAAAGGTGAGGATTTTTAAACATTACAAAGGTTTAATTTACAGAAAGAACACATACAAAATTACATTTTACATAATATATTACATAAATACATTACATAATACATTTACATAAATATATACATAAAACATACAGGTAAACATACATTTTACTATGATATTCTTTATATTACAACTGAAATAAAATGAATTAGAAAAATGGTGAATAAAAACTAAATACATAAATGTTTGTTGCCAATTTAGATCATACTTTTAACTTAAAAGTTACGGTAACAGTTTAAATATCAAATATCAATTCTCTGTAAACTACCAGCTTATTACCTGCCTATTATTAAGAATTTGGCCGTTTAAGAATTTTGCATAGTTTAAAAAGTATGGTCTTATTCTATATCCCTGATCCTACCAACAAACCAACCACCACCTAACTAACTACTAATAAGCATCAACTTACTAGTTTATTGAGCTAAACTTAGTTGATGGTTTGTTAATAGTGAGAATTGTATTTTTTAAATGAAGTGTGACCAGGATACTTTTCGTATGATTACACAAGTGTCAGGATTAAAATTAAATGTATTATTTTAAAATTAATATAAATGGAGACATTTTCCAGCATGTTGCAAACTTACACCTTAAACTTAAAAGAGAGGCTAAAAATGATGAAACTGAAGATCCAATTCTGTTCAGTTCAAACTGATTCCACTCTGTTGTTTTCATCTGTGTAAAGTGTGACACCACAAGTGACCCCTGTTATCGTCATGGTTATGTTTTGGTGTCTCTGGTGATCATCTCTGCTCCTCGAGAGGATTTGGCATCACAGCACCAAAAACATCTCTCCCTGTTATCTGAACAATGCTTAGCGTCACACACTGATAGGGAAAAACTGACCTAAAGACTGTGAGAGTCTCTGTGTTAATGTGACATAAACAGTATAGAAAGGAAGAAAGCTTACCTGCGGCCTTCAGGTGTGTATTCTCTGGTCTGCTGGGATAATGTCAAAACTCCACAGGTTTCTTTAAACGGAAGGATGAGGAAAGGGTGGATCTTATGTAAATGAGGCAGAAGACAACAGCACAAATAGGGATAAAGGCACAGGGAAGAATCTTTCTAAGGGTCGCTTATTAAAATGATTTTGTGTAACAATAAAACATTGATATAACAGAATCCATATGAACATTTAAACGAGAAGACAACAAAATCTGTGTGCCTATTGTATGGTGGTGTTTATATAGTTATTAATAGAATTATCATCATAATAATAGCTTTTATTGGGAATGGGCCTTAACTGCATGACTGAATTAGTCAGGGATATTTTCATACTGTATAAACAGCAATTAGAGGGTTTATAAACATGCAATTGTTTCCTTTACTACACGATGAGTGTAAGACAGAGTGCTCAGCATATATTGTGAGAACACCCCTCACAAATCTATATTTTAAACTCACATTTTTAATAGGAAGCTATACAATATTATATTTGTGCATATACTGTATATTAAATTAGTCAGTACTAAAGCCAAATCTGGAGCTTGTTTTGTTTTCATTATATATATTCAATACAGTTAAAGTCAAAATTATTATCCCTCCTGAATTATTATCCCCCAACCTCTGTTTAAAAGAAATAAGATTTTTTTTTTACACATTTCAACACATTTCTAAACATAACAGTTTTAATAAATAATTTAAGACAACTGTTTTAATTTATCTTTGCCATGATCCCAGAACATAATATTTTACTGGACATTTTTAAAGATTTTTAAGTGCAATTTAAAGGCTTAACTAGGTTAGCTAGGTGAGTTAGGGTAATTAGACAAATCATTGTATAATGATGGTTTGTTCTGTAGACAATAAAAAAATTGCTTAAGTACAAAAATTTCACAGGGGGGCTAATAATTCTGACTTTAACAAAGTAAAACATAAGTGTTTCACTGACTAAACAAAGAAAAATTATATAGAGTATCTACTGTATGTTTGTGTGTGCGTATGAAATGTGTGTACACTGGGAAAATTAGTCAGCGGACTAGTAATTGTAACAAACAATAATGAATATTTTCAACAAATAAATCTATGTTTATGTATATATATATATATATATATATATATATATATATATATATATATATATATATATATATATATATAATTTTTATTTTTATTTATTTATTTTTTACAATCAAACGCTTTATGTATTATCTTGCATAATATTAACAAGAGTTATAGATTAGTGACTTTCTGTGAAACTTTTAAGTAGAATTAACTTAAAATTTGTAATATGTGGATGTGGTGCCCATCCTCACCGGAGGTCACATATCTCCACATTTTCAAGAAAAAGAAAAAAAAAAAGAAAACACATTTTAAAATACACACCATCTTTAGAAATAATCCACAGATTTGAGTTTAAAACAACTACATTCTCGCATGAAATTAAAACCTAATTCTAAATTTGTGTTTTTTTAAGGATTTAACAAACTTACTATTGGTATAAAAATAATAAAACTATGTTAGCATTACTTAAAAACACAAGTTTCACTGAATAATAGTATTCACTGTGTGGATTATTAGAATAAATAAACAAACTAAAATAAAATGAGTTTAAAATACTCAAAAGGCTGATGCAAATAATTGCCTCAATTTTTTTTTTATTAAAACATAAACAGTATTTTTTACAGTGTACTCAGTGTAATATTTTAATTTTAAATCTATACAGGCGGTGTCACAGTAGCGCAGTAGGTAGCACGATCGCCTCACAGCAAGAAGGTTGCTGGTTTGAGCCCTGGCTGGGTCAGTTGGCGTTTCTGTGTGGAGTTTGCATGTTCTCACCGTGTTCCTGTGGGTTATAGACATGTGCTATAGGTGAATTGAGTAAGCGAAATTGTCCGCAGTGTATGTGTGTGAATGCAAGAGTGCATGGGTATTTCCCAGTGTTCGGTTGTGGAAGGGTAAAACATATGCTGAATAAGTTGGCGGTTCATTCCGCTGTGGCGACCCCTGATTAATAAAGGGACTAAGCCAAAAAGCAAATGAATGGCTGAATGAATCTTTACAGGGTTTAATCTAAAGGTTATTTTAAGGGTGTTTTTTTCAGTACAGTCCCTGATGTTTTGCAGGCAGCTTCATGGATCTTAAACTCAAACCCTTGATTCATCACTCTGGAGTTCAACCTCACCATCTGCCCAGCGTCATGGATGGCACTCAAAGCCCAAAGCTTTCTAATTTACACCAGCACAGAGAGATTTAGACAACAAAAAAATATACTATACGTCCAATCAAAATGTCAGAGTGTGGACGTGTGCACACACGCATGAATATATGCATGCACCGGGAGACTAACGCAGGATGATGGTTTTTCTGTGCATTTCCACCCGAGTAAAATGAAGGGCCCATTAGGGGCTTATTCACAGTCTGTGCTGATAGTTTGGATGATTAAGACTCAATCCAGCCCTGCCACAGCTGAGAGGACACAAAGACTTTTCTGATGCTTTTTCCCCATCTCTGGACTGATCACGAATTACACTGTATATCTAATAAAGACATTGGAAAGAAGAAAGGAGGGAGAGCAATTTCAGCCCAATTGGACTGCTTTCTTTACTTCGACTATCCTTTTGCTTGAAGATAAATGTGGCAGCGATATCGATGGTTTGATTGATTCTGCGGCACACGGAGATCCCCGTGGACACATTTTTTGTGTGAATGTTTTTGTAACATTCGATTTCTTAATTTTAGGCAAGAGAACATCTGGCAGCGATCCAGAGTGAGACTGATGATAAAGCGATGATATCTCAGCTGGAGCCGCGCAGGAGAGACCAGAGAAAGGAAATGAAAGCCGGTTCTACAAGTCTGATATCACACTAGTGACTGAAATTGAATGGAACGACAAGATAACACCGCAAAAACAAATTTTCTTTTCTGTGATGCATTTTAGTTTGTCTGAGTGTTGTACAAACAGTTTATAGATGTTTTTTTAAGATAGTAATGCATACAAAATGTAGAAGGGAATAAAAACTTTTAGAAACACCTAAATTACTGAAACAATTCAGACTTACTGAACTTGCGAAGCACATGACATTTTTATTCATTTATAAATGTTATTGTTGTTACAATTAACATTTTTACCATTAAATAACAAGATTAATAAACCCTTAGGCAAATGTATTGCACAATGTACAAAATAGGATCATTCTGAAAACGTAGCCCTATATACATTTCTGGAGATTGCGA